ATCAAAGCTAAGTAACCTCGCTCTTCATTGACTTAACCAAGTCTAAGCAAGTACACAACCTCTAAGTGTTGGAACATGTGTTAGTTAGTTTAATATTCACTGAGCTGTATTGTGTGATCTGTTAAAGTACTATAGGGTAATGTTAAGTGGTCACTGCTTAGTTTAGAGATTTGAATTGTCCTTCATGATCTTCTTAATATGTGCTTTATGGAATATGTGGCTGGTTACATTTTGCAAAGGATTTCTGACAACCTTTGGAAAAGAATCCCGAAATCCTTTATCCTTTACAAGCTATTCATTCTGTAATGTTGTTTAGAGGTATTCATGAAATTATTAACACATTTTCCTAATTCATAGTGTACACTTTATGAAAATATTTAATAAGATTACACTAACTGGCTATTTACTTAAAGTGGACCTATCATGCTATATTTGAATAATATATTGTAGGGCTATACCTATAATATAAAACATGTCTCATTTCGCTCTATTTGCTCTTTTCAAGGGCTGATTCTGTGGCAAATGAGCTGCAGCTGACCACGCCCCCTTGCAAAGGAGGGGGGTGAGGCACGAGCGACACGTTACCATGCTGTTACCATGCCACGGCAACCTCTCATTCTCCTGATAGGTGGAGAGTTGCCCATATAGGCGGAGCACCCCGTTCCTGACGTCAGAACAATTTCAAATCTGTATCAGTCTGTATCAGATCCGTTGCAGCCCCGTTTTTAGAGATTTGGGTATGGAGGAAAAGAGAGAGGGTTGTGTTTTCTGACACTTAGTGAGTTCCCTGACACACCGGGGACACATATTCATGTTTAAAAGACATACAAAAGTGCATTTTGCATGATAGGTCCCCTTTAAGTTGGTGCCCAATTGGGTGGACTTAAAGGTCTCATGTCTTGGCCATTTCTACTGATTGTAGAACATTGTTGAGGTCTACTATGGAACTATACCATGTTGGTGGGACGTTGCGGGGCTCGCTGCTCTGCCCTGTGGGGCTCGAGGAGCGGACAGTGTGAGGTGGATTACTGGTGTTGTTTCCTGGGTGCTCAGCAGAGCTCAGTAGAGTGTGTGTGTGTGCGTGTGTGCGTGTGTGTGTGTGTGTGTGTGTGTGTGTGTGTGTACAGGGTACATGGGACCTTTAATGGAAGTTAAATCATACAAATTAATATAATTGATATTTGTATTTAACATAATTAATATTATTTTATATAATTGTGTTGATATGAATAGGTTAATCATTATTAACAGTACATTTGTTCACCTTCTCTAAACTTCTGCTATTTTACATTATGTATTCAAATGAAATGTAAACACTTCAGGATACATGCTTTCTCTTTCCTCTCTGTGGAACACTTAACTTGTTTTGGTGATGTCCTTTAATAACTCAGGTAAGGTTAATAATCCTCTTCTACTTCATCTCCATCTTGGAAATGTGTTGTGACATCACCTCGTGATGCCTCATTGTAAAACAGGAGAGCAGGAAAAGTTACAAAGGCTCAGAGGTGGGAAGTAACTACATTTACTCAAGTACTGTACTTAAGTACAATTTTGAGATAGTTGTACTTTACTTGAGTATTTTAATGTTTTACTACTTTGTACTTCTACTCCACTACAATTCAGAAGTAAATGGCTCCACTCCATGTATTTAATCCCTTTAGTTACTTCACAGATCTGGATGAATGATGTGAACGGGTTAAATCAGACTTTAGTTCCACCTGGAGTAAATCCACCAGCTACCCTGCAGTATACAAAGTCATTCAAACTAGCTGCACCTTTACCAGCTTTGAGAACACTTTCATGATCAATCATTATAAAACATATCATATATATTATTCTGAGATGGACCAATCTGCACAGTACTTCTCCCACCTCTGCACAGGCTCACTTTAAAGTTACAAAGTGTATAGAAGCTATCATTCCAATATAGTATAATATAATTAGGTCCACCAGATGTTCTCATCTCATTACTTCCAGGTTTTTTCCCATGGATCAGGAAGCTCAGGTTTTAAAGCCAAGAAGAAGGGCCAGTTTGAACAGTCTCTGTTTTCCATGCTTCTGTTTTGTATTCCTGTTCTCCTCATCGTCTTTTCAACCGTCACCTTTACCCCAGCACGACCCAAGTTCTCTGTGACTTCCTGTTGGACGGCAGCAGCAACCAGGATTATACTGCCAAGATTAACACACACACACTCACATGTATACGTACAATCACAAACACACTAACACAAACAACACAAACGATAGCAGGAGTTCTCTCACAGTTTGACACACACACACATATAATGTGTGTCAATATAACAAAAACACACATGTGGTGCTGTAATGCATGCAAACTGGTGAGGGAAATCAGAGTTTTTTATCTGATTCATATAAGCTTAGTTTTGATGATTTCTGAATTGTTGGCATGAAGTCAGACACTTTTTTGACACTTTGCGGAGAAGTGCTGTGATTCCCCTCTGTATAAAGTGCGCCATACATATATACGTATTGTTGCTGAGCTATCATACTGTAAGCACTAACTGTTCCTAGAGTGGTGGCTCTTCCGTCTTCACTACACAAAACGAGTGCAGAACATTTATGATGAGATAGGTGTGCCTTTACAGCGAGGTAGTGGTGTCCATGGTCTCCAGTGAGTTGCTTTCTTTGCCTTTTCACTGCTATGCAGTTCATGGTAAATTACGGGAGGAAGTCGGGGTCAAACTTGTTGAGGAGATTAGCTTGTGTTAATTTCTTTAATGGGTTAAGGTTCCCGGATTAGAAGGGAGAAGAAGAAGTTGACCAATGTTTATAGGAGCAGTTGTTCAAAACAAATGTATGGTAATAAAAACGTTGAAGTCCAATCCAGTAAAAAGACATTACCGTGTTAAAGCAAGACTGTGTAACTTCTAAAAAGAGAAAAAAAGTTACACATACAAAACATTTATAAGACTCTTGCACATTTACATACAGTAAGTAGTTCTACTGCTAAAGCTTTACCTGATGGCTAATGTTAACAACACTGTAATGACAATTATGGGCCACATTAGCTGCAAAAGCCACACAGTATTGCTTTAAAGCTTAAGATTTCTACACCAATGCAAAGTCATGCTTTAGTCTAATGTCAATGAATGTTGGTAAGAGGAAGAAGTAGGAGGTTGGTAGTCTTAGATATATGTCATGTTTGTAGACAACTTTAATATATAGTTCATATAAATACGTATATATTTATATAAAAAGCTAAAGTTTAGCCGCCATTCTCAGAACTGAATCGGGACACTGTGGTATTTCCAAAGTCCCACATGAACCTGCCATCAGACACTTTTCTGTGAATGATAAAGAAACGTATTGGACATGAATCCATGCCTCAGTGACACATTTCCCAAGATTAATAATGTTGTCCAACCCTGGTCAGGGTGCATGACAAACTGTACAATGATATCTTTCTACTCAACTGTCAATGAGACCTTGCCTAAAGATACACTTTAGGTCACTTTTACACACAAAGCACAAGTGAAATGCAAACCCTTACAGAGCCTGCGGACTAGACTGGAATGAAACTTAGAGTTATCTGATCTATTGTGGTTGCACATGGCACTTTTTGTTTTTCAAGTTACGTTATGGTAATTGTATGGTATCGACTCCCAAGTATAGCTATTCCACCTAGTCGGGCGGCATCGCACTCTCCATAGAAACACAAGGTTAACATCAACGTAAAGCTGTTTTACTGTGTACCAGCTTAAAGAGCCTGTGACAGCCTCCCAACAACTGTTGTGCAATGAAATATTGGGCTACTAGTCATCTCGAACCGTCAGTTTAAAAAAGAAAAAGCGATACCGTTCCGTTAAATATCAATAATTTCGAACATCGCGGGAAATTCCTTCGACTCATTTTGAAGTTTTGGGGGAAGCCGGAAATGACGTCAATGCGGGAACGCTTCACTGTGCGGCGAGAGAGCCAAACACGGACAAAGTGTGTTGTCATGCGTAGAAATTGTGAATTACTGAGTTTAGGCACGTTAATAACGTTTGAATGAAGTTGACTACAGTATATTCATATTTGTCAGTGCTTTCATGTCAATTCGGCGAACATAAACATAATGATCGTGGTGAAGATGATGATTACATTAGGATTAAAATCGGACCTGCTGAATTTCCTCCCGTAGGATGTGATATAAAAACAAATCGATTATTTTTGTAGTTGTAAACTCAAGTGGATGAAACTACATTTATTAGTGCTTTCATGTCAATTCGGCGAACATATGATACATTAAATGATCGTGAGGATGATGATTAAAAATCGTTTGTTTGAGCCGGTCTGCATTTCCTGATGAGAAAACAAACCGATGCTTTGTGTAGTTGTAGTACACCAACATGGATTAAACGTGTGTTTTTTTACCACAATGTTGGGGAAATTAATGGATAAAATGCACGGATTATTATTATTATTATTCCCACTCCGATCGGGACACTAGGTCCACCGTTTCCCCGCAGCGAGGCTCCCCCCGTTGACAGTTTACGTGGGCTGGGTGCAGTGGCGGACTGGCCATCGGGACGAATCCCGATGGGCTGGTACCGAAGTGGGCCGGTTGGATAAGTCACTAGCACATCCCCCACTCCCCCCGTTGACAATTTACTAGCGGTACCGTAGTGGGCCGGTCGAGAGTCCCATGGCTGATTTTTAGTCCCATTCCACCACTGGCTACATGACCGTATGATCGCCCATATTGACGCACCTAATTCCTAAACTTCTAACAGATACAACATAAACCGATCCTTCAGCCTCATATGAGCTCTCAGACACGTTCAAAATTAAACTGTCATCGCTGTCTGAGCTTGCTGCTGTGTGCGCCATCGTGCGTTTACATGCAGATGCTGGGATCCTGAACGGTGCAGCTGGAGCGCTGTGCCCGCAATGACGTCACACATCATTTGGCGGGACTTGAAGAATCCCCGAGCAGATCCAGAAAATGGTCAACATTGAAGGGCAGATTAATGGTTATCAAAGTACAAATATTTTCAAGGGGACAATATTTACTCAAATTGATGGTTTGGATGATGGGGGAAACTCGTGTCACAGGCTCTTTAAGGGTTTGCTATGGAAATGCCCAATTCATTCAAGGTGAATTGCCCCAGAGAGAGAAGAAGAAAAATGCTTTCAGTCCAAAGCCATTGGGGGGGTGTAAACAGATTTGGGTGGGCAGCAGGCTTTCATTAGGGCCGCTGCTGTTCGGCCTCTAAGGTCTCTGATTGCTCTCGGATTGATTTAGATAAGAGTTATTTTCAATCTCTTTGGTCTTTTGGCTCTGCTCATTCACGGCTATCACACAACTAAGCTTATAGTCGTTTTTTCTCCAGTCTGTGTGATTAAAACCGTCTTTTTTCTGGGAGTTTCTTTTTCTAAGTTGTTGGGCGTCTTTGTGTGTGTGAGCAGCATCACCGTTGGATGTCCGTTGTTCTTGTTGGTAGCGACCTCGTTGGAGTCTGTGAGGGGGTCGCTGGGGCTGGCGTTGCCACAGCAGCAACACAGTATCCTACCAATAGGCCTGAAAACGACTCTGTACAGGCCGCGGCGGGCGCTCTCGCTCACGAAGCAGTACAGAGCGGGGTCCGCCACACAGTTCAGACTGGTCAGCAACAATGACAGGTGGTAGTAGTTAAATATTCCTGAAAAATAAGAAAACAGACCAAAGTTAGTCTGTTTCAGCAAAAACTTTACTGGATTACTTTGCAAAAAAGAAACTGTACCTATAATGAAGTTGCAGTCTCGCTCCAGCATGGTGCGTACCAACAGGAAGACGTGGTAGGGGGAGAAGCAGACGAGGAAGATGAGGATGGTGCTGCCGACCAGCTGCCTGATCCTGGTCTTCTGATCCGGCTGCGTCCCGGTGCTCCGACCCACGGCGCGCAGAACACACAGGTAGCTGATCTGGACAGCATCAGGGTCAAGATAAAACATTTACATATCATAATCCTGTCTTCGTCCTCTCTAAAAAGCCTAACACGTGTTTTTCAACAACTTCTTTTTACATGGGTTTGCATTTCTGTAGATAGAAATATAGGTTTGTATGGTAAATTAAGTAGAGACAAAGCAACCTTAGATAATTCATTCATTTTTTTATTACATAAGGCGGTTTTAGCCGTTTTGGAATATGTGTCCAGTAAAAATTAGCTTGGACATTAGGACTTCAGTTATATTCCTTTACCCAAGATCACCTTGCTGAAGGCAGATCTTGAGAAGAAAGCAAGCTTAATTTTGCTAATTATATGCCATTTGTTATTTTCCCAAGATTCTCAGGTCAATTGCTTTACAAACATCACCACTTTGCAGCCTGTCTTAGACAGAGTGGAGAGCAGCATCAAAAGATATGGGTTTGTAACATTTTACTTTTTACAATAAAACCATAATAATATTTATCCATTACATTCTAAAATGTTGTGTCAAAGAAGCAAGTGTAGATAAGGGTCTACCTCTAACTCAGTAGTGTTATTTAAATGAACCAGTTCACTTTTGTGATAAACATTAGAGTAGTAAAACAGTTATCATACCGATAAAATAGCCAGAGGAAACATGAAGCCAATAGTGAAGCGATAATAGTTGATGGGATACTCCCACGGCTGCATGGGGTAGTGCTCGAAGCACACTGATTGGTTCTTGATGTCTTTGCTCAGTTCTTTATGGCGGAAGAAAACCACACCCACAGCGATCTCCTTCAGCCAGATGAAGGAGCTCACCAGCCACGCTGTACGCATGGAGCGGAGGGAGGTGAACCTGGAGACAAAGGAAGGAGAAGAGGACAGGTTAATAGACGTATTGATTGATTGCAGCACACAGGAACTATGGTTAAAGGTTCAATCTTAAAAGAGAAGATTAATGTTACATTGGAAGAGACCTGCAGCAATATTTGTATCATACCAAACCGTAATTACCTTAAAGGGTAGACCACAGCCAAGTAGCGATCCAGGCTGATACAGCACAGGAAACCGATGCTGATGTAGATGTTCTCATAGAGCAGGAAACCACAGAGCTGACACAACCACTCCCTGTGGCTCCAGTCATCATCCTGTAAACAGCAACACACATTCATATACAGAAACTATAGTCTCGGTATGTAGGTAGGTGAAAAGGGAGTAAAAGCTAATCGAAATGAACTGCTACACAATTTTGTATTTGCATTGTACATGCAGGGTTTCACTTTACCTGGAAGAAGTACTGCAGCCACAGTGGTAAGGATGCCAGGTACAACAGATCAGACACTGTCAGGTTCATCAGATAGACTCCCAGCTCGTTCTTCTGCTTCAGCTGCACAGCAGCGTGGTACAGAGAGTAGATGTTGGAGGGAATACCAACCTGGGATTAGGAAGACAAATGATTGTGATTATTTTATTCTCTGACACTAGTTATGTTCTTCCTACAATGCAGCATGCTTCGAAAACGTCCCTTCTGCTTACACAACTAAACAAGAACGTTGAGGTTGGATGATTCTAACATATTACCAACGTTTATGAGCCCAATGCCTACATTTTTCTAATTCAGGCTTTTGTTGTCCAACATCTGCACATGTCAAGGTTATATTTAGCATGTAGTAAGAGTATTGCAAGTTCCGTTAAGGTTACAAAACACTTACAGAAAGGTAAGGTATATTGTGGAACGTTTCTATAAATAAACATTGATTGATTGATCCTTTCCCCGCTCAGAGACCCAGGTCGTCGCACACATCTCTGCTTGTCTAGCTGACATCTCTCAGTGGATGTCTGCTCACCACCTCAAGCTCAACCTTGACAAGACTGAGCTGCTCTTCCTTCCGGGAAAAGATTGTCCCACTCTTGACCTAACAATCAACATCGGCACCTCAGTTGTTTCCCAGACTCAGACTGCAAGGAATCTGGGTGTGACCCTAGATAACAACCTGTCCTTCACTGCAAACATCGCTGCTACAACCCGTTGCTGCAGATACACGCTTTACAACATCAGGAAGATACGTCCCCAGCTGACCCAGAAAGCGACTCAGGTTCTGGTCCAGGCTCTCGTCATCTCACGCCTAGACTACTGCAACTCCCTCCTGGCTGGTCTACCTGCATGTGCCATCCGACCTCTGCAGCTCATCCAGAATGCAGCGGCTCGTCTGGTCTTCAACCTTCCTAAATTTTCCCACACCACTCCGCTCCTCCGCTCCCTTCACTGGCTTCCGGTAACTGCTAGAATCCACTTCAAGACACTGGTACTTGCGTACCATGCTGCGAATGGATCTGGCCCTTCCTACATCCAGGACATGGTTAAACCGTACACCCCAGCGCGTGCACTACGCTCTGCATCAGCCAAACGACTCGCTGCACCCTCGCTGCGAAGGGGACCCAAGTTCCCAGCAGCAAAAACACGTGGGTTTGCTGTCCTGGCTCCAAGATGGTGGAATGAGCTCCCCATTGACATCAGGACAGCAGATAGCTTACACACCTTCCGACGCAGACTGAAAACTCATCTCTTTCGACTCCACTTCGAGCGATAGAATTATTAACAAAGCACTTATATACTAATAAAGGACTGGCTTACCTAAAGCCAGTTGAGTAGCACTTGAAATGTTTTGGCTCTATGAAACCTGATGTACTTATATGATTCTGTTTTCCTCAAGTTTGTATTTTGTTGGTCGAACGCACTTATTGTAAGTCGCTTTGGATAAAAGCGTCAGCTAAATGCAATGTAATGTAATGTAACATATTAACACCACTTTTGGATTTGTGAAGCATAAATGCAAAAGCCAGAAGTAAATATATAACGTTAGCCTATAAACGAACTACATCACAGTCACATGACTTCACACCGCTATAGGCTTAAGGCGGGTAGTGTTTGTCGTGATTACTTTATTTATTTTGTCACTTGATAGCAACAACCGTTTTTATGACACATTGGAGGTTCAGACATCCACCAGTGGAGTATTTGTTTTAGAACAAAACTACTTTGTAGAAAAGATCTTAAGATCTATTTAAAGCATCAAACCAAAAGAAAACATTGATTTAACAGACGGGTAGAGCTAAAATGTTCAATCATTTCCGGGTTTTAGGACTTATTGGCAAAATGTTCTAAATGAGTTTGTGTTTAAATTTGATGATAAACTTCACTTTCGCAAACAGCTGCCGTATAACATTTCAAATGTATTTCACTAGGGACCGGTAAGTGACTGAAACAGAGTCATTTACAGAATGCTGAGGCTACAGTAAGTGCAACATTTGTCCTAATTCTATTACAGTGCTGACAAATAAAAAACAGCTAATGCTAAAACGTACACACATCATTAAAGCGTGCACATTGGTGAATTCAAGGAGGAAATGTCAGTTTACGACCTCAACGATTACTTGTGCACTTTTATTAAGTATTCACACACCTTAAAATGTTTGTGTGGAGATATTCAAGATGCACACACACTTACCGTGAGCACCAGAATGTACACACTGGAGAAGACGTACTGGTGGACTTTATGGTTGATGGTACAGTTGGTCACTTCCTCCTCAGACATGTTGAGCACCATCACTACCCGCTCACACTCACACCACCTTCAACATGCATGTCCACAGGAAGATGTTAAGACATGCATGCTACTAAAATGTAACAAATCAGACAAATCTTCATGTCGGTTGGAGCACTCCATGGCCTAGCTCGTCATCTGGGTCAGTGTCTCTCTTCTCTTTCATTTGTGGAGCTGTGGAACACAGACAAATACATTGTCAGAGATTATAAACATCTGATCAAATATTAGATTGAACTGGATGTAAATACTTACACAAACACAGACACACACTTAACATGGTAACATTAAGGGTATTACACGGTAAAAGTCCTCACTTAGATGAGCAAAAGAATGACCGTAATCTTTCAAACTATTGTTTGAATAAGCTAAGTGTTGTAAACTATTGAATAAGCTGAAATATAATCTGGTCTAGTTGGTCAGAAATTATCAGTCAGTGTGTGTCCAGAAATTCCTCTGAGTCACTAAATTGGCAATATTGCTAATTAAAGAAGAGGATGTTTTTAAATTGTTGGGTGAAATGATTCAAATCCACCTGGAACAATCTGGAGCCTTTGATCAGAGCATAACTAGACGAATACACTATAACTATATTCCATCAGAAAGGTCGGTGAACACGTCGTAGGAAGTTATTATTTTATAGCATAAACCAACCCTGGGTCTGAAGCTATGCTAGCAGCTAGCACACAACAGGGCTTTGAGCTAAATGCTAACATCAGCATGCTAACACGCTCACAATCAGAATACTATCATGGACATGTTTAGCAGGTGGAAGAAGTGCTCACTATCAAGTTGTAATACCACTTAAGTTAAAGTCAAAATGTAGTAGCATCAAATATACTTAAAGTTCAAAATATAAAAGTACTCATTATGCAGAATGGCTTTTTTTCTGCAAGGTAAATCTAATCCAGTTTATTAATATTTTGTATTAATAATAATATATATTGTCATACTGATATTTTGTACAAACTGTAAAGTCCACTGAGACAAATGTAACATTTGTGATATTGGGCTATATAAATAAACATTGATTGATTGATTGATAATATATATCTCCAAAGTAACTACTACTCTTCTCATATAAATGTAGTGGAGTAAAAGGACAGTGGTGCTTCCAAATTGTAGTAGAGTAAAAGTATGTAGTAGCATAAAAAGCAAATACTCAAGTAAAGTACAAGTAAAATAACATTGTACTGAAATACAGAACTCGAGTAGATGTGCTTACTTTCCACCAGTGGTTGCAAGCAAGCATGTGTGCCTTATTATGAATATTCAATTCTGATTGGTCAATTTGGACATCTCAGAGGTTGTTCATTCTTGCTAACACACCGCTGCTAGGCATAACATGACCGTTGCTAAGGAGGATCATTTGCGGTCATATCAACCCGCAGAAAGAAGATCGGTCTCTGTGCATTTACTCTGTCTGATGCCAACATAAAAAAACATATTTGCAAATAAAATATTTTCTGAAATGTGTTCTTCTTACTTTATATTCCTGGCATTGCCATTTCATTGGGATGCAGTAGTACAGTGCTGTATGTAAGTGTTTCAGGGTCACTGTTTTTACTTTCAATAACACATTTGAATGAAAATAAAACAGATCTATGAAAGCATCTCAGTGCAGCGCTGCATCCTGAGCTGCAGCTTCTCTGTAATAGAGTCAATGTACTGTGATACTTCTGAGTATAATCTCCACTAGATGTATTGGTCTTGGCATGCTGGTCCATTTAGAATAGCTCCATAATGACATACTAGAAAGCATTTAGAGCCATTTTCACACAACACACTCCAGCCACAAGTATCATATCTGCGTCCATCACTCTCCCTCTGTGCATTCCTGGAGTGTCACGCTGAACCATGATTGTAACCCTTATTCAGGCAGAGGAACGGAAGAAATGATACACACACATCCAGATGTGAACTGTAGGAAAGATTTCTGCTCTGCACACCTTTTGCTCGGCGACAGAGCAGTGAGCGGGGGGCTGATGTCGTGCAGCTGTGAGTCAGGGGGGTAGAAATGCTGTTTCAACAACACCCTGTGACAGCCTGACCAATAATGTGTCAATGTGTCACAGCAACGGAAACACATTCAGTTTGCAGAGACAAAATTAAACAGATCTGTGAAAGAACGTCACAACATGCATTTGTAGTCCCTTCATGTTATAATACAAATGCAATCAAATGCCCTTTTCTTAGCATCCCCCCCCTGCATTGCAGTGCTCTCTGTCCCTCAGCAGAGAGATCAAAGTTCCTTCAGAGGAACTGAGCGCAGGAGGAAGAAGAAGCTGAATAACCCTGAACAATCAATGAACAGATGAGGGTCTCTCTGCAGAGCTATAGGCCGGTACATCGTCGCACGCATCTCTGCTTGTCTAGCTGACATCTCTCAGTGGATGTCTGCTCACCACCTCAAGCTCAACCTTGACAAGACTGAGCTGCTCTTCCTTCCGGGAAAAGATTGTCCCACTCTTGACCTAACAATCAACATCGGCACCTCAGTTGTTTCCCCGACTCAGACTGCAAGGAATCTGGGTGTGACCCTAGATAACAACCTGTCCTTCACTGCAAACATCGCTGCTACAACCCGTTGCTGCAGATACACGCTTTACAACATCAGGAAGATACGTCCCCAGCTGACACAGAAAGCGACGCAGGTTCTGGTCCAGGCTCTCGTCATCTCACGCCTAGACTACTGCAACTCCCTCCTGGCTGGTCTACCTGCATGTGCCATCCGACCTCTGCAGCTCACCCAGAATGCAGCGGCTCGTCTGGTTTTCAATCTTCCTAAATTCTCCCACACCACTCCGCTCCTCCGCTCCCTTCACTGGCTTCCGGTAACTGCTAGAATCCACTTCAAGACACTGGTACTTGCTTACCATGCTGCGAATGGATCTGGCCCTTCCTACATCCAGGACATGGTTAAACCGTACACCCCAGCACGTGCACTACGCTCTGCATCAGCCAAACGACTCGCTGCACCCTCGCTGCGAAGGGGACCCAAGTTCCCATCGGCGAAAACACGTGGGTTTGCTATCCTGGCTCCAGGATGGTGGAATGAGCTCCCCATTGACATCAGGACGGCAGATAGCTTGCACACCTTCCGGCGCAGACTGAAAACTCATCTCTTTCGACTCCACTTCGAGCGTTAGAACTATTAACAAAGCACTTTTATACTAATAAAGGACTGGCTTACCTAAAGCCAGTTGAGTAGCACTTGAAATGTTTGGCTCTATGAAGCCTGATGTACTTATATGATTCTGTTTTCTTCAAGGTTGTGTCTTCCTGGTCGAATGTACTTATTGTAAGTCGCTTTGGATAAAAGCGTCAGCTAAATGCAATGTAATTTAATATGTTCAATGAGGGGATTCAGACTCTGTCATAATCCCATTTTTTGGTTTATCTGTTTCCTGTTTTTTTTTTAGTTATTGACTTTCCTATTATTTTAATTTAACAGAAAAATACCTGATATACTGGCTTCCTGTGTGTCAAAGAATAGATTTCAAAATACTGCTGCTGGTTTATAAAGCACTGAATGGTTTAGGCCCAAAATACATTTCTGACCTCCTGCTAAATGATGAACCATCCAGATCTCTCAGGTCTTCAGGGACTGGTCAGCTTTCTGTCCCCAGAGTCAGAACTAAACATGGTAAAGCAGCGTTCAGTTATTATGCTCCAAATATCTGGAACAAACTCCCAGAAACCTGCAGGTCCGCTACAACTCTGACTACTTTTAAATCCAGGCTGAAGACTTTTCTTTTTGTCGCTGCTTTTAATTGAACTATTCATATCTTAGACTGCACTGTAACTTTTATCCATGTATTTTTTCTTTTAATGTTTATTTTATTAGCTTTTCTTTTTAATGACTGATTTTAAATGCCATTTTCTTAATCTCTTTCATTTTTGTAAAGCACTTTGAATTGCCTTGTGTTGAAAAGTGCTATATAAATAAACTTGCCTTGCCTGGCCTTGCCTGATAGGGAACAGGTGCAACTAATAAGGGCAATAACATGACACAAGGAGAGATGACTTTTCAAAATAAAAAAGGAAACCAAAAACTGGAACCATGACAGATTCACTTCCTGTTCAGCTCTACACGTGCATCTCATGAAAATGGACCCCCTCCTAATTCAGTGCTTTCACTGTTGACAATCTCCCCCCCCCCCAAACACTAAAACAGAAAAGAGAGACTATGAAACAGCCCACTGAGATGATGTAATCCAGTCATAAAGAAGCAGTGAGCAATTTCATCCAACTTGGAATTCAAATAAAATAAATCATGGAATTTACATTAAACAATTTACAATATACAAAATAACCCTGAGGGTGTTGACACAGGAACAAAAGATTGTAACCACGTCTTCCGAAAAGCTGCACAGCATGCAAAGCTTGGAGAAACAAACGGTAGAATATAAAGAGGCATAGTATGGGCACTCTGTCAGAGATAAACACAGGGATCTGAACCAATTACAGGCTCAGTGATCCCCAACTGAAGCAGAAACAGGAAGTCACTGAAACACATGGCTGCCCACAGACGATGTAGCTCTCTATAGAGAAGCACATCCTTCACTACTGTGAGAAATAACAAACCTTTAAAGGAAAGACTGATGGAATCAATCAGACCAACACTGTGTTACGGAAGGAGTCATTTCTGGAGGGGAGCAGAGTTGCAGTTTCCTAACTGCTGGAGCTCACATGTTCACACCTCCCACATGAAGTCTTGATCAAGGCGTTCAGCAGACACTTTCCTCACTAATGATGAAAGTTCTTGAGCTCTGGACTCATGGCTCTGGAAGGAAGAGGGGCTTGGAGAGGTTTTTAGAACAAATCCTGTCTGCAGACCTGCTGGTGAAGGCAGATCTGCTCCTCTGGAAGATACATCTATGTGCAGTAGCTGCCTGGAACTGAACTTGTTCAAACTCTATTGTACTGTATAGCAATCAGAACATGGACATCTGTTTATTTTGTGAGCTCTGTGTATTTATTATGTCCAAGGTGAATATTTTGTTACTCTCTTTGGCCATCATGAGGAAGGAGAGCCTTCAGAGCATCTGATCATTCTGATCTGATATATTGCAACACCAGTTTCATACCGGAGTGAGACAGATAACAGCTTACACTGAAGTGCACTGCTCATCACAGTTTAGCACGTTGTTTTTATTTCCTTTATAGGTTAG